AAACTAAATTTGTGATACTGGAATCTCTGCAGATGGTTTAAATACAAATTCAGCATGCTGAAGATGAAACACTTGTACAAACAAGAAATACAGAATACAGGACAGTGAGATAAGAGTCTGCTTCATGAAAAATGAAAGCATTTATTCTCCCGTGAATATTCCACTGACTGACTGTGTAATGGATGCTCTGGGGAGCTCAGAACTAACCCTAACATAGCAAGAGCCACTTATTAAAGAACTGAAGCTAATTCTGCAAGTTAAAGAGCTTTTTCACCAGAAATTTTAAATCCCACTGGGGTATTTTCAGGTTTCTAGTCAGTCATGCCATGCCAGCTCTCTCCCTGCCCTATTCCCTTGTCTCTCCCTCTGAAGTGGGATGGGCTGGAGTGGCCAAACCCTTTTCTTCAGTGCTGGGACCCCATGTGCAGTGAGGGTTGGAGAAGCAGTGGTATGCATCTGTTTCCTTTTGCTTTCTGTGAATAAGCACTTCTGGATGGTTCCTCAGGGGCTGGAACCGTGCCAGTGATCCCCGTCTGTTTCTCTGTCCATAGATCCTGAACATCAAAGAGCAAATGGGAACATGAAATACTTTGAGTACATCATGGCTAAAGAAAAAGAGGCAAACAAGTCCAGCACGGATTCAGAAGAGCAGGAGAAGGAAACTGAGGTTAAGAAAAAGGATTACCTGCCTGAGAGAAGGAAGTACGAAATGCTGTGCCGTGGGGAGGGGCTCAAAATGGTAAAGTGGAGTAGACTGTTCTCAAATGTTTGAAACCAAACAATGTCAGGAATTTGTGTGTGGTGTGCAAGCAAGGAAGTTGTTAGAGCAGCTGCATGACTGTGCAGAGCTGAGGATCTTGTGTTGGATTTCTGCCCCCTTTGGCCTGTTCAGTAGACAGAAAGTAACACTGCCTCAGGCACTGCTGGCTGTCTTGGAAGTGTTCCATCAGTGTAATTAATTGAATAAGGATGCTGGAAGTCCAGACTTACAGACAGAATTAAATAGGGTAGTTGGAGTAGTTTGCAGTCAGTTCTCTAGCACAGCACCAGACCTCTGTGAGACTTTAATGAATTTTTTCTTTCTAGATGGGCAGAGAAGCTGGATCAGCTGGGGTGTTTTTCTTGGTGATGAAATTATCTTAGTAGGGTTGTGTAAAGTAATGCTTGCTGAAGTATTACACAGCAACATGAAAGTGCAGACAGCACTGATCTCTCAAACTGAAATCATCTCCTTAACCTGTCACATAAGGAGGTGGGGAGAGTGAATTGTTTGTGTGTCCAGGACATGTTCTGCCCATTGGCAATACCAATGTTCTGTGGCAGTTAATTGTAAATCAAAGGGAAGAGAATGATGCATCTGACTCCACTGATCTCAGAAGGCTAATTAATTACTTTATTATACTATACTATATACATTTCATCTAAACTGAATCTGCCAAGCACTCACTCTGCGCACACCTGCTCACACTGCTCTGAGTCCTGTGACTGTCACCTGACAATCCCCCCCCACCTGGCCCTGATAGGCCAAGGAAACAAAACATCCTCACTTTGTGTAAACAATCTCCATATTGCGTTCTACTTTGGCACAACACAGGCACAGCAAGCGACAAGAATTGTGTTTTCCCTTTCTCTGAGGTTCAGAGAACGTGAATCTCAGAAATCCTTGGGAAGAATTGTGCCTTGCTTTTCTCTGTGAAGGGAAATGTGACAGCACCTGTCTGAGTGCCCCTTGCTGTGCCCCCTGTAGACTCCCCGCCGACAGAAGAGGCTCTTCTGCCGCTACTACGACGGGAACAGGAACCCCAGGTACATCCTGGGCCCCGTCAAGCAGGAGGATGAGTGGGACAAGCCCCGCATCGTTCGCTTCCTGGACATCATCTCCGACGAGGAGATCGAGACCGTGAAGGAGCTGGCCAAGCCCAGGGTAAATGCTCCCCCTTCCCTGCCTCTGGAACCTGAAATCCCTGGTGTGCTCGGTGTGAGTGTGAGTGGCTGGCTGCTCTGGAGGGCAGGAGTGTGTAGTGAGCTCACCCCTTGCTTGCTTCACCTTGCAGCTCTTGAAGGACTCTGGGGATTCTCTGTGGTGACTGGAGCCAGGTCCCAGCAGTGCAGGATTGTCAGGCTCTTCCTGCAGACGCAATTTCAGCTGGTTTGGATGAGGAGGACAATGTCCTTCAGCATTCTCCTCCTCATCCAAACCAGCAAGAGTGGACTGGAGTATCCCTAACTTGTGTTTGATTTTCTGCTTTTGTTTCTTTTTAAGTCTGGAAGGGAAAGGCAGCCATTCCTCTGGTCCTGGAATGCCACCTGATTGTATAGACAAGAAAGAATGGTTATATTCTCCATTTTGGTCTAAGACTGGCTGCTGTTGATGCCTTGTGAAGGTTAAGCTAGAACAGTGGCTATGTGGAGTTAAGGAATAAAGTAGGGTTTTATTAAAAGGATCTCCATGGATCCACCTTGGGCAGCATGAGAGCCCAGCCAGGGCTGCACCCAAGGTGAACCAAAATGATCATGGAAATGGATGACTGGTCACAGGGTCTCACGCTTTTAGAAGTTCTGCTCCATTTGCATATTGGAGTTAATTGTCTAATTACAACTTTAGTTTATGAAGTCCCATCCTTCTTGTTTTTCTGTCTTCATTCTGCTGTTGATTTTGCTCTTGGGCCTCAGATTTGGATCAGTTGCCCTTGGTCCCCAGCTAGAGAAGATATTGTTTTGTCTCCCTGCTCTGTGCACAGAGCTCACCATCCCTTAATGTGAAGCTCAGAACTGCACACTAAAGAAGCACAGAATCTGAAAAATATAAAAGCTAAAACCTGAGGCCATCACTGTCTCCAGGCTTGGAAGCTGCCTGCAGATGACAGAGCTTTAAGGGGGCAGGACATGATGAGTTCTGGCTTTTTATTAATGATGGTGGCTCATCAACCTTGTTTGAGACACAAGATGCAAAGGTTCTTGTTTCTCAGAGAGGAATAATCCAGGGCAGCTTGGTTGTCTGAGAAAACAGGAGTGTCCCAGGCAAACAGCAAACTGATGGAGTTGCGTTCTATATCCAATTGGTGCAGCTCTGCATCTATAGATGTACTCTGAAGATGTAGTTAGTTAAATTAATTTATTTTTTCATCAATTTTAAAGACTTAAAGACTTAAGCTCATAGAAATGTAATTTTCCTGCTTTTTCCCTTTGCTTTAGGCCTAAATGGCTTTTTGTCCAAAATGAGCTAAGCAGATGGAGACCAGGGGAATAAGAGCATTCAGTGCAGGAGAGGCTGTTGGCTTGGCCAAGAGCTGTGGTTGTACATGGGCAGTGAGGCTGTCCTTGGCCTACCAGGGAGCCTGAAGGGATCTTAAAGCTCCCTGAAGGCTGAGCTGTTGGAAATTGGGAAGAATCTCTTCACTGAAGAGTTTGGCAGGGCCTGCCCAGGGAGGTGGCAGGGTCACCATCCCTAGAGGTGCCCAAGGAATGGCTGGATGTGTCAAGGTGGGCATGGATCAGAGGCTGGAGTTGATTATCTTGGAGGTCTTCACCAACCTCAGTGATTCTGTTCTGAGGTAATGTTCTGAACTGTAAGCAGGAAGTGTGAGCTTTTCCCTCCAAGTACCCGTGAGGCATCTCCTCCTGCTGCCCTGGCAGGCAGCTTTGCTGCAGGGCTGAAAATCAGAGCCCCCATTGCTGGTCTGGAGGTGTTGGAGCTCCTTTGCTGCAGAGTGATGCATTCCACACCTGTGGAATGTGACCAGACCACTACTTGACAGAGTAGAAAACTGTAAATGTGTGACTGTGAGCTCTGATCTTGCTGAGGTCACTGTTTTCCTGTCACACACTCAGCTCATGGCAAAGACTTGGAGACCTTTATGGCAGGAGCATCTGTATGCAGTTACTGTTCCCTTATTCCCTGTGGCTGAGGCCTTGCACGGCTCAGCAGCAAAAGGATTTTGTTCTTGGAGACCTAAAGGTCATCTCCTCCTTCGTGCTGCATGGGCTGCTGCCATCCTGTGGGAGGAGAGTGCTGATGTGTGCCCAGACTTCTGCCCTGCTGGCAGGATGAAGCCTCATTATTCAGCTCTGGAGTCTCACTAGAATTGTAGTTTGTGCCTTTTTTTTTCATGTGTCTGCATGGGAGGAGAGGCAGCATACTGGGAGCTCCCAGTACCCTTTCTTGTAGGTATGGAGCAGCCTTGGCTTGTTTGGTTTATTTTAACAGTGGAGAAATGCTTCTGATTGTTTGGGAGTTGGCCTGACATTTGTGCCTTTTACAAAATCTGGGCTCTGCATCCCAGCCTTTGCAGTTATGAGTGATGGAGAGTGCCTGGTAGTACATGAGCCAAGCTAAAGGGCACACGTGAGATTCTGAGTTGGAACATTCACAGGGATGGGAAGGCATGAAGTAAATGGAGCACAGCAGAGGGAAAGAAAAGCCTTGAGGCAGGAGTTCCCACTTTGTGTAAATGTGATTGTGGGTGAAGCAGAAGTTTGTGGGAGCTCAGTGCTGCCTTTGGTACAGGAAGGACTGAAAAAGAATGGTTTATTCACCTTTGGCTTATGGTGGATTGAATCTACCTGTAAAACCCCTCATGCAGGGACAGGAGAGTGTAACAAGGCACCACTTGTCCCCATGCCACAGCAGTGTGCTGCTCCCAGAGCATTTCACTACAAAAGAAATCCAAGCTGCTGTAGTTTGCTTTATTCAGACAACCATTTTCACTACAAACATGGAAACAGGACTCGTGGAAAACCTTAAAAAACCCAAACAAGAAACCTTTTTTTGGTAAAGCTGGAGCCTGCCCTGGTTCCCTGTGGCCCTGCAGGACAGGGCAGGTGCCAGGGTAGTGGCATTGTCCCCAGGCCAGGCTTCTGAGTGGTCGGAGTGCTGGGCTGCAGATTGTGCTTGTAATGCAATTCTGATGGTTCGCTTCACAGCTGAGGCGAGCCACCATTTCAAACCCCATAACGGGAGCCTTGGAGACGGCACATTACAGAATTAGCAAAAGGTAAGAGAGCTCTGCCACAGGTTTGGGCCTGCCATCAGTGTGTACGTCCTGCTCATTGTCAGGAAACCAGCTGGGCTGGAGAGACAGCTTGCAGTCCACCTTGTGATTCCCTGCAGATCTGTAACAGGCTGGTGCTGCTGAGTTTCTCAGTCTTTTCCTTCAGCTGGAAGTTCTGGAGGGGTGTTTTGATTTGTTCTTTCCCTTTTGGTCGCCTTCTCAAGTCTGTTTTTTCAAGCGAGTCTCTGCAGTCAGTGTGAAAAATACAAGATGTCACAAAACCTTCAGTAAAATCTGGGGTTTGTTTTTAATCTACACATTGCTTCCCCCTTGCTCCTTCTCACAACCAGGAATTGTCTTCCCTTTCTTTGGAAAATGAAGCAGATCTCAAAATGCCTTAATGGGTGTAAGAAATGCTTCAGGTCCTTGCTGTGCACACAGACACACATCTCCCCATCCAGGATAATCCCACACTCCCAGCTGAGCTCCTTTACCTCCTGCCTGACACAAACCTGGCAGAACACAGGCTCGCTTCCACCGAGCTCCTGGTTGTTTTCAGCTTGTCCATTAAGTACTACAAGAGCTGAATTTAGCCAGTGCTTTCCAAAATTGGCTGGATTTGAAAGAAACCACCTGCCCCTGCTTGCCCTCCCTTGGTTTTAGCCATGGTAATTAAAGATTGGCTGCACAGGCTATCAGCACTGAGCCAAAATTCTGGGAGGAGTTAAAGCTTCTGGGTGAGGAGGAATTGTCTGGGAAACTCAGCATCATAAATTACTTGTAGAAAGTCTTGATTTTAAACAAACAAAAAAAAAAAAAAGGAGGAAAAATAATAAAGGGAGGAAAAAAAGTGAAAGGACAATCTAACCAAATTATTGCAACCAATTTGTTGTGATTTGGACATGGCAGCTGCAGCTTGTGTTGCCCTTCCAACCATTGCTAATATGCGAGCATCGCATCCGGACCAACCGGAACCTTTCAAACACCTGGGGCTTGGCCAAAAGCAGCCTGCAAGGTGGGTAAGCCTTGTCCTTTCTCTTTTTGTAGCTGAGCCGTGCTACTGTTCATGACCCTGAGACTGGGAAACTGACCACAGCACATTACAGAGTCTCTAAGAGGTAAGGGGAAGGGATTCCTTGTCTGAGGAAGTGTGTCCTGGGGCTGTGCTGCTTCAGCACAAGCATTCTGTGTAACTCTCCTTATTCTTCAGCTTTTCTTCCAAAGAGAGGGGCCCAAGCAAGCTGAGCTGTCACCTAAGAAAGCACGGGGACTGCTGAAGTAGGGACTGGTTGTCAGTGGTGGCATTCCAAGGTGGAAGTGCCCTCTCTGGCTGAGCATGGCTTGTGTGCTGTCACTAACCTACTAAACAAGGGCATGGGGCTCTGCTGGCACCTAGTGCAATGGGGCACCTGCCTGGCTCACCCCTGCTCCTCAGTGCCCACCCTTGCTCAGAGCTGGGAGCTGCTGGCATTCCTGGGAGCACTGCCCACTAAAGCTAGGGATGATTTTAAGGGATTTCCATGGTGGAATGGTGGAAGGTAGAATAGAAACTCAGTGTTCTTTCAGCTGTTTTGACAAACCCCTGAACTTGGAATGGCCTGGAGCTGAAGGGCTTTAGTTTAGCTGTGAATTGCTTCAGAAAGGTAAAAGTGCTTCCAAATGTGGGCTCACAGGAAGGTGACTGATTCAGGAATGATAAGTCTCAGAAGAATTGGAAAACCACTGGAGCCAAGGTCCTTAAGGCCACTCTAGTGGCAAGTTGAAAATATTTTTTTTTAATGCCTCACACCTTTGCAGCACGTGGGTCTGTGTGCTCATTGGCACATGCAGGTAGTGGGAATCCTCTGGAAATTGTCTGGAAAACTCTTACATGTTTGCTCCTTAAAACTGATCCCATGGAAGGGCTTTAGGAACATCCATCTTCCTGTTGGACATGTGTTGCATTTAGTTTTTATTTCTTGTTTTTAATGTTCAGGTCTGTCCATGTCTTACCTATCTTAGTTATTTGTCACTGCATATTTGGAATTTATTCACTTGTGGCGTTTGTCCTCTGTGCAGACAGCTCTGGAGTATTTACTGAGGAAACTCCTTCATCCTTTTGAACCTCGCCTCATGTCAAACTTGCTGTGCTAATGATGGGAATTGGAGAAGGTGACCAGTTTACTGAGGAAATTGGGATGTATAATTGGTCCCTACTTAAATAGATGAGGCTTAGTGAAAGAACTTTTTATTGCAAGTTGTGATTTTTTTTTTACATTAGTAGGAAGTGTTATTCCCTGAGGTAGTGCAGATGCCACAGTCAGAAAAAATAGTACAAGGCACCACCCAGCATTAAAGGCCAATTAAAAAAAAACCAAAACAGGATAGAGCCTGGGGAATGGGACCCTTAAATTCTTAATGAGGTTTGGTGCTCAAAAATGTGGCATTGTGGGACTTCCTTCCAATGAACCTAAGAACTCTCAGAAATTGAATCACATTTTACTGAGCTAAATTTTTAAATTCAGTATGTCACTGGAAACTGGAATTAAAATTGTAGGGACACATCCAAGAAGTTGGGCAAGGGCATTTTTTGAGGGTAGGAATAGCCTTGGTGTGCAGCTTCTGCTTGCCCTGCCTTTGCTTTCCTCCCTGTGCAGATTTGCAGGATGGGTATGGACTTCCCAAGAGAATCTGACACCTGAATCTGCAGTGGGAGGCAGAAGGCACCCCCAGCAGCCTGACTGAGAGGCCCTGTGCTGTTCCTGCTGCACTGCCAGAAACATCTTTCCCTTGGAGCTGCTCGAGCTGGTTCAGATTCCAGATGAATCATTGCTCCTGAAAACCAAAAAATGCTCACTTCATTTTTTTAATAGATGACTGCTTTCCCCCTCCAAACATTCCTTCCCAGCACTTGCCCTCCTAAATTACAGCATTCCTGCCTCTGAGAGAGCTACTGTTCCCTTGGTGGGACGTGGCAGCTCTGTGTAGGGAGGCACCTTGCCAGGGTGTGCAGCACCAGGATAAACCCACCCACTCACACACTGCTTTTACAGATAAAAACTCCTTTTTCCCCTTCCCTCTCCTCCCAGCAGGCAGCAAGAGCTTGCAGCATGTTATGCTAAAAGTTTCCATTTCAGAAATACCAGCCTGGCTTTTACTCACTCCCTGTTGTGTCTCTGCTGGTATTTTTCTGCACACCAAGTGTGGCTTAGAAGGCTTTTAAACACAAATCCCAGTATTTTGTGGCCAGTGACCTACAGAAGTAGTGTTGAGCCTGACCAGTGCAGCTGAGGAGATAAGATCTGGAGGGGATGTACTCTTGTGTGTTCAGTAGCTCTAGAGATTCTCTGGTTTTTCCTTAATGTACTCCTTAGACCTTAAATTATTTCTGTGTGGAAGCATCTGCCATTCAAAATCTCTGAGGTGCCTCATGCAGAATTAGAAGAGGGAGGACCATGGGACATTTTGTGGCTGTCCTCATCCCTGGCAGTGCCCTAGGCCAGGCTGGATGGGCTTGGAGCAGCCTGGGACAGTGGAAGGTGTCCCTGCCCATGGCAGTGGTGTAGTGGGATGAGTTTTAAGGTCCCTCCCAACCAAGCCATGTCTTGATTCCATGAGTCAATATGATTATTCCTGACTGTCTGTGATGCATATCAAAGTTGTTAAAAGCCTCCCCAGTGTGAATTCAGCACGCTGATGGAAGCATTAAATTTTTTATAACAGTTCAGGGATGGCTTTTTACAAAGCCAAGTGGGTCAGCAAAACACCAGACTTGTGTGGTCAGGGGACTGGGGGGTTGTGTGGTGGTTATTAAGGAAATACCAAACCCTTCTGTAACTAAATCGGTGATATCTTGACCTGCCCTGCCTGTGGCTTCCCAGGAATTGTCCCTTTTTTGTTAAGGCCCATCACAGACTCAGAGGTGACAGCTGGTCAGAAATAGGACAGAATGCAGTGAATCTGGAAGTATGTAAATATTAAAAGAAAGCAAACTGCTGAGCATGTTTAAGGCTGTTAATGCTGCACCTCCTACACCACTGGCCAGGGGAGTCTTTCTCTTTTCTTTGATAGACAAGGGCAGGGAAAAAAAGCCAACTTTGTGTGAAGAAATGGTTTTGAATGAGGCAGAGACTTTTATCAGCAAGGGATCAAGCTGGGACAGCAGCAGAGGAGGGTGTGTGAGACAGCTGGAATATTCTGAGGCCAGGCTGCAGCTGGCACGGCACCTCCAGGGTTAAATCCCCTGTACCTCTGCAGCGCTCCAGGCCTCCCTGTGGTTTTGCTCAGCACCCAGCAGACAGGCTGGCACTTGGAATATGGTTTCAATTCCCTGTTTCTCCACCTTTCATAGGCTTTCTTTGTATGTGGAGGCTGTTGATTTGATTTCTAAAATACATACAGTACTCCCCTTCCTGAAAGGCTGCAGTATTCATTGCCATCTAATAACCAACAGAGCAAGAATGATTGGGTTTTCCTTTCTTTGGATTTCTTGAGTTTTTTTGTTTGTTAACAGACTGGACAGAGGCAGAAAAGGCCTACACTGAAGCTGCTGGGTGTGTTGGGGCTCTTCTTGTGCCTTAAGTGTGAGGTTAGGGCTGCTTGTGAGCATAACCTGGTCACCATGGCTGTGTAGCATGGCTGCTTCTGGGGATTTTTGTTTGGTGAATGCTTCATATCCATGTCTTAGCATTCTTCTGCCACCTGAAATCAAAGCAGGTTGTGCTGTAACACCTCGTGGTACTAACAAGTGGGCCTAGGTATGTGTTTGTGCATGTCTGTCCTAAGAAATCAGATTTCTTTTATCTCATAGTTCATTTGTCATTCAAAAAAATGCTCGTAGAGATTCTGTAACCTGTGTCAGTGCCTTGTGTCATGTGTCATGCTACTGTTCCTCCCAGGCAAAGTATTTGGGGATTTATGGTTTTTTTAATGCAAGTCAATATAAAAACTTAATTTAGTATAGATGTGAAGGTTGATTTGAGTAAAAATACATGGATGCTGCTGATAGTTTCCTTCTGGGCTCTGGGCACAGGGATTTCTGTCCAGCAGGAAGCACTGCTGAGCCCAAAAGCTGAGTCAGCTGCTAGAAAAAAAGGTAGAAATACCTATCTCCGTTTTCCTGCTAAAAAAAAAGGGGGGAAAACAAGCCCCAAATCACCAATATTATCACCCATATTAGTGCAGGGGGCTGCCAGGTAAAGTGAAGGTGCAGTGACTGGCATGGGATGAGTCAGATGAGCAGCTGTGGAAAAAGTCTAATACACAG